AAAACAGGTGTTGTTTGTTTGGATTCTTTATTATAAATATATAATATCTCAAACTTGGTGACTTAAAGATTTCAATTTTAAATATATGCATTATCGATAAATTAAAAGAATATCTGAACATATTCTACGATAAACACTTCGATCCATTCAATATATATATGATCACCGCTCCACCTTTATTTTCATTCAACACTCACATGTTAGTGTGTGCTTTTCTTTCATAATCTTCTCTAAGTGAAACATGAAAACGGTGGTTAATGTCATCGTATTTTGTCATCTTTTCCCTTTGCTTTGCTTACAATTCTTTTGCTATAACGTTGTCGTCGTGCCCTCATGAACAAAGTGCTGCCTTAAATCCAGTTCAACAACTCCTTTTTCATTGATTGCTCGTTGTGCGGTACAGTTAAGACGATGTCGTGGAGGAAAGGAATCAACTGTTATTTGTGGGATGAGGTTATGTGTGAGACCATATATAAGATTATAAAATTTTATAAAGTTTCAAGGGAGGAGAACATATTAAATTTTAAGAGCAAAAAGAAAAAAAGATTTTTAATAGAAAATATTTAAAATATATAATATTTTAAAATTTTTAGAGACAACCGCCCTCACCCGGCTCCCTTTAGTCCATCATTGCCATGTTTTCTTACACCGCAACTCTTATCCTTGAGGATAATGGACTGCAAGGAAAGCTCCCTGATTCAATTGACAGTCTTAGATCTCTGAGATTAAACCTCTCTTCTAGCAACGCAAGTGAATTTCCAAATTCCGTAAAAAAAAAAAAAAATCTAGAGGATTTGACCTCTTTGGACCTTTCTTACAATAGAATCGTGCCATCGATGCTGATATGTTTTCAAAGCAGTCCTTATACCTGAGCAACAATAACAACCTCACTCCTGCCTTGCTCTATCTTTCTTCCTTATTCCTTTCTTGTAGTATAAATGAAAGAATAAATTTCTCGAGAACACAACAGGATTTGATTGGTTTAGACCTTTCAAACAACATTCAAACAAGAAAGAAATTGGGGAAGCAACCTACAATATGTTGATATTTCTGACAACTTGTTGACATTTGTAGAATATTCTTCATGAAAGAATCTACAATCTCTAAATCTTGGCTCCAACCTTATAGAAGGGCCCTTATACCACCACCTCCTCCTCGCGTATTCGTTTTCTTAATGTCAAAGAACAAATTGACTGGAGAAATTTCATCTACCATATTCAATTTGGACTATTCGAAGAAGAATGTAGTTCTCCACTTGTCCCATAACAACTTGAGTGGAGCAGTTCCAAAATGTCCGGGCTTGAAAAATATTTCTGTTCTAAATTTGTAGATAAATCATTTACATGGAAGCATCCCAGATTTTTGTCTGGAGGGAAACTATGGGTTACAAACACTCTACCTCAACGACAATGATTTTGATGGGCCACTACGTAAGTTCTGGGCCAATTGTCATCGTTTGATAAAACTCATTATTATTACCATTGATTAAAAATTTGACATAAAACAAATATTTAAAGGGTAAACTACATCATTCATCATTGAACTTTACTCTCTCTATTTTTATCACTCACTATACTTTCAATTTTTTAATTTACTCACTTAACTTTTAAATTACTTATGTTTTGGTCACTCTAAATTATTTTATTATTAGAGAACATTCCTCATTGAACTTTACTCTCTTTCTTATTTCACTAACTGCACTTTCAATTTTTTCAGTTTACTCATTGAACTTTTGAAATGTTCTTGTTTTGGCCAATTTGAATTATTTTATTATTATTTTGGTATGATGTGAAATTTTTAATATTATTTAATATAAAAATAAATTAAAATAAAAAAAAATAGATGGTGGTCGTCCACTGTTCATCAACAATGGACGCCACCGTCGACGGCCGTAAATGGAGGTAATTCGATCCAAGATTTCATTGGTCGCTTTGTCTGGACCCCCTGAGTCTGAATCCGACCTCTATTTTGTCTGAACTTGCTTTGAATTTGATTAAAAGTGAGAAAACTGAAACATCGGTCGCCGTCGACCGTCTTAAATGATGGTCGTTCTATCCCAAATTTCACAGGTCGCTTCGCCTTGACTCACTGATTCTGAATCTGACATCCATTTTGTCAGAACATGCTTCAAATTCCATGAATAGGAGATTGGAAGTGAGGAAATCAAAATATTTCAGCCGAGGTTCACGGGTTTTGAGACATTTTTCATGAAACAACCACCATATTCAGACTTAGTGTGTCAAAGTGAGTCTCTCGATACAATTTGGAGTCAAATGGTTACTGGTTTCGGAGGCCAGTAGTGGTCGACGGTGATAAGAAAGAGCGTTGGTGATGATGTAGATCGTGGAGAAGTGAAAATATTATTTTATTATTTATTTTAAATTATTTTTATTTTTTTAATAAAAATGCCAATTCATAGAATAATAGTAATAAAATAATTTGTAGTGACCAAAACAAGAGTAATTTGAAAGTTCAATGAGTAAATTAAAAAAATTAAAAGTATAGTGAGTGAAATAAAAGAGAGAGTATAGCTTAGTAAAGAATGATGTAGTTTACCCATATTTAAAATTTATCGTAAATACGGTGAGAAAAATGATGCTATATAGGAGCTTGATATCAGCTACTGCAATTGGCTCTTCTCCCAAATGCCTTCAACATTAGTCTTATTCTTTGTCCTCTTGGGAACTCTCTGTTCCTTTGTCTACTTCTTCCGCACATCAACGAACAACAAAAATGGCCGGAAGCTTCCACCAGGTCCGACCCCTCTTCCAATATTCAGTAACCTTCTTCTCGGCGAAATCAATGAAATAATGCTCTCGAAGTTTTTATTTCACGATATAATGCAGTGTTCAGATTAATTGCTCGAATGGGGTAAATTCTACAGTGATGGCCGTAGGTCGCCATGCCATCCGGGCAACCTACGACGTGGCAGCATCCAGACGAACCAGCATAGGTCGCCATGCACGCCCGGCGTCCTATAAGGACGCCATGCACGCCCGGCGTCTAACGTTCTCGTGATTCTGCTGCTCTGCCCGGCTGATGCTCTGCTTTGGTGCTATGTATGGGCCATGCACGTCCGGCGTCCAACGTTCTCGTTATTCTGCTGCTCTGCCCGGCTGATGCTCTGCTTTGGTGCTATGCATGGGCCATGTACGGGGCATGGGATAGGTCACCAAGAGCTTTGTTCACGTAGTCTGCTCTCGGCAAACCTCTGCTCACATGCAGCGTGAATTCAGCTGCATTATTGCAGCACTTATTATTGCATTATTGCAGTCCTTCAGCTCACGTGAATGGCCCATGCAAAGGTGAATAATTGAAGCAAACGGGGGTGGTTGTATTATATATTGGATGGGGGTTAATGAGTGAAACATAAAAGAAAGAAAGGGAGAAGAGAGCAAGGGAAAAGAGGAAGAAGAAGAAAGGGAGAGCACAACATCGAGGTAAGCTTTTTAATTATTTAAATTAGTTTTTTATTTTAAATTATTAGATTGTTAGTTTTTGGTTTAAGGGTTTACAACATTTTAGTTAATTAGTTAGTTAGTTTAAGGTAAAACAAAATTGTAATTAATTAGTTTGCTTGATGGTTATATTTTGGTTGTTGAATTTATATTATATAAAAAAATTAGTTAATTAGTTTAAGTTATATAAAAGAATAATTATTTAAATTAGTTTATTGTTATAAATTATTAGTTTATTAGTTTATTATTATAAATTAGGGTAAAACAAAAAATTATTTAATTAGTTTGGTAGTTTAAGTTATATTATTGTTAGTTTAAGTTATATCATATAGAAATAAAAAATTATTTAATTAATATGTTTGATAGTTTCATATTAATAAAAATAATCAGTTAGTTTGTTAGTCGTTAGTTATATATAAAAAAATATGTAATTAGTTTATGTTAGTTAAATAGTTAAGTTATATTTGTTTGTTGAATTTATATTATATAAAAAATTAGTTAATTAGTTTTTTAGTAATAAATTATAATTAAAAATCATTTATTAGTTTAAGTTATATTAAAAAATAGTTTATTAGTTAACGTTATATTAAAGAATAGTTAAAGTTATATTAAAGAATAGTTAAAGTTATATTAAAGAATAGTTTATTAATTGTTTAAGGAAAAATTTATGTTTAACTTATATTTTAAAAAGTTTAGTTTGTTAGTTTATTAGTTTAATATATTATAAGTTATTATATTAAATTTTTTTGTTGTGTTGTGAAATAGTTAGTTTTACCCTAACTAAGTAATAATTAATTTTTTTTATAATATAACTTCAACTTCAAAGAATAACCTAATATACGTTTAAAGATACTAATAAATTAATTATATTTTTTTATATTTAATAACTTAAACTAATTAACTAATTAACTAATTTTTTATATAATATAATATATAACTTAAACTAGCAAACTAATAATTTATACTAACAAACTAATTAACTAGATTTTAGTTTTACCCTAAACCCTAAACTAACAAACTAATAATTTCATATAATAAACTAAATTAAACAATAAAAAATTACCTCACAAACTATGTTTGATCTTTATCTTCTTTTCTTCTTCTTCCTTTTCTTTCTCTCCGCAAATTTTATATGTGCTTATGTTACTGGATCTGCTTCTGCTTCTACCCTAAACCCCATATCCTTTATATAAAGCAAAAAAGCGTTGGACAGAGTCATTAAATTTGACTGTTGAAGAAAATAATATTAACATTGAATCGTATAATTATTGAGCATTGAACGGCTGCAATTGAACAACAATATTTGATGCATTTAGCAGTTAAATTAACGCTGCAATAATGCAGCTATGGATGCAACGCATGCAGCTACGGATGCAGGAATCTCCCAGCTATGGATGCAACGCATGCATTCTAGAGCTTGGTCGCCGGGACTCCATGGCGACCTACCATGTCGCCAACTCGCGACCTACACCCCACGTGCATGGGCCATGCATAGCAAAGAGAATCACGAGAATGATAATGATTATAGGACGCCGGGCGTGCATGGCGACCTATGTTGGTTCGTCTGGATGCTGCCACGTCGTAGGTCCCTCGGATGGCATGGTGACCTACGACCATCACTGTAGAATTTACCCCATTCGAGCATTTAATCTGAACACTGCATTATCTCGTGAAATAAAAACTTCGAGAGCATTATTTCGTTGATTTCGCCCTTCATATCTTAGGAAACCTTCCACACCAAAGTCGTCCCCGAAGCAGCTGAATTACTCCTCAAGGTCCATGACGTCGTTTTTGCTGGCAGGCCGAAACTCCAATCCTCGGATTACTTGACATGCGGCGCCAAGGGCTTGGCTTTTGCCCAGTATGGTTCCTATTGGCGAACGGTACGAAAATGGTGTATATTGCATCTACTTAGTGCTTCGAAAGTCGAATGCTTCGCCCCCGTCAGGAAGGCGGCAATGGTGTCATTAGTAGAATCGGTGAGGAAGACGGCGACGGAGGCTAAAACGTTGAACATTAGTCAGCAGGTAGGTAAGGCTGTTGAAGTGATCATGTCAAGAGTTATTTTTGGCCCGTGTATGGATGACGAAATCGAATTTAAGCCACTAATTGAAGAGGCCCTGTACTTGGGTGGGGTTTTCAACATGTCAGACTACGTGCCTTTTCTTGCTCGACTTGATCTTCAGGGACTAAAAAGAAGGCTCAAGAGGACGACTAATGGCCTTCACGCAATTTTTGACAAACTAATCGATAAACATGAACAAGGATCGACAAACACTGAGGAGCAAAAATCTTATACAGATTTCTTTCATGTGATGATTTCGTTGTTGAACAAACAGATGAACCCTACCGACAAGGAGCAATATATCATCGGTAGAGAAAACATCAAGGCTATACTGGCGGACATGGTGGCAGCTTCGTTCGACACCACAACTACAGCCATCGAGTGGACACTTTCGGAACTTTTAAGGCACCCTAGAGTGATGACTGGTCTCCAGCAAGAGTTGGAAACCGTTGTCAGAAGGAATCGAATGGTCGAAGAGTCGGATATACCGAAACTTACTTACTTGGGTATGGTCGTCAAAGAGAGTTTCAGGTATTTCAATTCAGTTTTGCAATTCAATTATTTCCTACTTTTTTCGTATAATCTATAATTTAGATTATATTACAATACCACCAACATCAGGTTGCATCCGGTGGCACCCTTATTAGTTCCACACGAGTCGACGGAAGATATCACCGTTAATGGATATTTCATACCCAAAAAGTCGCGAATCCTGGTGAATACTTGGTCCATGGGACGAGACCCCAAAGTGTGGTCGGACAATGCAGGAGAGTTCTTTCCAGAAAGATTCGAGGATAGCAGCATAGACCTTAGAGGACATGATTTCCAACTCATCCCTTTCGGAGCTGGTCGAAGAGGATGCCCTGGAATGAAATTAGGGCTAACCACCATGCGTTTATTTATAGCTCAATTAGTCCATTGCTTTGATTGGGAGTTGCCCGATGCTATGTTGCCTAATCAACTCGACATGACCGAGAAGTTTGGTCTCTCATTGCCCAGGGCTAAGCATTTGTTTGCAAAGCCAACCTATCGTTTAGTTGGTTAAAATGTGTAACTTTTTTTTCTGATGTTTTTTCTTTAAAAACTTTGGATTTGGGTTTTCATGTTTTTAATGGTGCAATGTCTGTTTTTGCAGTACATTGAAAAACAAATAAAGGTAACCATTACAATCCGCTTGTTTTAGGGTAAGCCCCTTAGTAATAAGGCTGTAACTAGGGTTGACATGGTCAAAATAAAACGACCATGTTAACCATAGACCATAGTTGTTTATGTTTAAATTCGGTTTGATTGTTCTTAGAATAAAGTATATTTTTCACATGTATTTTTTGTAATATGTTATAAGTTGGATAATTTTTTAATATATAAAAAATCATAAATCTATACCTTTACAATAAAATTATAATTTGTTGACCATGTTGTTAATCTCTCGACTCATGGCACCGATGAATTACAATTTAAAAAAAACTGAAGAAATTTTTTATTTCGTTTTTTATCCTTTACAATAAAATTATAAATTGTCTATATATTTAATTTTGAATTGATTTTTAGGATATGTATTTAATTTCAACTAATCTTGGGAATGTTTTATTTCATTTTTTTTTCACATTTTAATTTTTATGTACATCCATATTTTTTCTTCTAAAAACTGACCTATTTTAAAAAGATATGTTAAATTTTATGATCTCCTTGGAAAATAAAAGTATTTATTATTATTAAAAAATTTATTCTATCTTTTACATGTATATTTAAGTGTACCAGTGAGAGAACTATACATTCTGCTTTTGGGGAGGTAATTATCGAAAACAATTTAACATGTAATTATATCTATCAAATTACATATGTCAATATCGCTTGGTGGGACAATGTTTGTTTGTCAAGGTGAGTAAAGACCAAAAGTAGAAAAATTGTTTTAGATGGTTGAGAGTTATTTTTAAATATATATTCTCTTGTATTTATTTCAGATTAATAAAAAAATGTATATATAACTTTATAGAATAAATATAGATCTATAACATTTTTAATAAATTGTTCAATATTTTTTTTAAAAAAAGAAAATGAAATGAAATTATAATAGTATATATAGACACTCAATTTGTAAAAGATATTCTTAATAAATTAATAGAATTCTTTTATTAATAAAATAAAATAAGAGCTTAAAAATATTTCAAATATTACATTAAATTGTTGGAAATTTTCAATTCTCATCAATTTAAAATTTTAGAAGAAATATGAAACTTTAATTTACTCTAACGTAATTTTTATTATTTTATTTTTATTTAAATGTATTATAAAAATAAAGGAAAATAAAAATATTAATGATTTAAAAGGAAAAAATTACTTACATAATATTCAAATACAAGCAATGATATAAAGACGACTGAGGCTGTGACAGGTACAAAGCCATACTAGCACGACGCATAAAGTTTTTTGTTTTCATTCCTATTTCACTACTTGAGAAACGTGTACTCATCTATATCGTATAACATGTGAAGTGAAACGGATCCCCACAAAATTCATCCAATGACATTTCTATAATTCATGTACATTCACGGACATCACGATATAAACGTTGCTACAGGGGAAATGGGGAACTAAGGTTGAAAATGGTCCTGGATGTGAAAAGGTGGGGCAAATTGATGTTATTGCTGTCCAAAGTCTGGAAATAAGGCATGCATAAAATTAGATGATCCTTATTCCCATATGTAATAGGGTAAGGGGAGGTAGGATAGTAGGCTGTCCCAATGCCAGGTTGAGAACATCTTCCGTGAGAGACCTCCAAATTATGAATTGACCACTGTGAAACTCGATCCCACGACCTCAAGGTTAAGAACCTTGTACTCTACCAACTGAGTTGGATAGGCAAATATGGAAATAATGCATGCATGTACCAAATAAATACACACCAACCCAAATGCCAGAATGGTGATTGCAATAAATTCCCATCACACGATAGAAAGGAACAAATCTTGAAGATTTACGAACCCACTTGGTACATGCATTATTTCCTGTTAGATGAGTTATTGGTGCAATATTTACACATGCATGTAAATTCCCCACAGGCAATAGGGTCAAGAGTTCACAAACATCAGTGACACAAACCCACTTGGTGCATGCATGTAAATTCCCATCTGCGAAACATGCTCAGCCTGAAATTTTTAAATTTTTATAATTTTTTTATATCTTTTATTGATAATCAATTTTCGTCCTCTAAAATTTTATAATTTATTTCTTAATATAAAATCTTACTGTCATCTTACTCATATGTATTAGGAAGGAAATGGTCTTGCAGGGTAGAGGGTTGCATGTCTATTTTTTATATGAAAATAAAAATTTTAAATATGAGCGACAAATTCTACTAATTCAATTTAAGACGGGTTTGGACAAAAAGTAAACCTATATTTGAGGCCAGGCCCATAAAAAAGTGTTAACCTCTTATCTGGGTTATGCCTGAATCTTGTGCTCGACTTGATCCAAAGCAGATCTAAATTGCAGTGTATTCAAAGGGAGAGAGAACATGTCAGACGTTAGGATGTTGAAGAGGTTGCTGATCCTGGGTTTTATTTGGGTCTCCCTTCATTTATTGGTCGAAGAATCTTATTTCGTATGGGGGAAGGGAGGTCTACATTAAATCTTTCGGTCAAGCAATTCTCACGTATGCTATGGGATGTTATCTTCTTCCTTATTATTATTTTTTCACAATTTGTATGATATCTTTATGAGCATCACTCGACCCATATAATTAATTAGATTATAAGTAATATCCTTTTAACTTAAAATTATTTTGAGGGATTTGTCTTTACTCATTAGAGAGTCGTTTTCGACGATTTTGAATTAAAAGTGTATCCCAACAGTGAAATTTAAAAAATGATTCATCAACTAAAACTTGAGAACGAAAGAAAAAGAAATGTTTGTCTATTTAAATTTATCGAGAAAATGTTATTGTTAGAATTCATCTAAGATCTGGTCTCGATATTTTTAAATAATCGAATATTATTTATCTTTCTAATAGTTTAGTAATTTTAATTTAATATATTTTTGTGTTTTTGCATATTATAAAATTTATATCTTTGTTGTTTTATGGGATCAAAAATCAAATTAAAGTCGAATTTGTAGATTTCATTGCAAAGACATTAATTAATTGACTAGGTACCGATTTAGGGCGTTGTAGAGTGTTAATCTCTCCCTACGCATAACCGACTCTCGAACTTAGATTTTGGTAACACAGACCACAGATTTATCATTTTTAATTAAAATTATTTTTTATTTAAAATGACAAAATATTTTTGGGTACCCAATCACACTCTAATCAAAAATTGTTTACGGTACATTTTTTATTTTAAAAGAATCAAAAAAAATTTGAAACGAGAAAAGGTGAAAAAGTGCGACCGAAGCAGCATGAGCGGGCTTCTATTGCTACTTGAAGGAAAAATTGGCCTTCATTTGTTTTTCTTTACACAACAAAGCAATAATAACCAAAAACTAAAAAAAATCAGTCCACATCCATTTGAAAAGCATCCATCGAATAAAAACAATCAAACTAGAGGATTTCGGGGATTAATCAAAAATCAGTACCAAAAAATAGAAATCATTTTCATCCAAAAAAGAAACATTCGAACTAAGATGAAGAAAAAGAGAGGGAGAGATTCGGTAATCTCCAAATACCCATTCGAAAGCGGAAAAACCTTACCTCGGGCTTTAAACGATGTTGGTTCCGGTGATCGGTTGGCGAATCCCAATGGTGAGCAGCTAGTGGGTGAACAGGGTAACCACATAGCTCGACCACACAACGATCCAACGGTCCGAGGAGGTAGATCGGGGTGAAAGCCGAGAGGTTCCACTGTCATTTCGTGGAGTTGAAGACTGTTTCTCGCAAAACCAATGTCATATTCGAGTTCCTGGCGAACTAGTGAACATAAAGCGACTAACTTGAATCTTAAGAATCCTGTGAGAGGAAACACAAGGAAAAAAATTTTGAGTCATTTAATTACATTTTTCGAATAAATGTATACGAACTAGAGATCATACGGATATATTTATTTTTTAAACCAGCATACAAATTAGATATCATGCGGTTATGATTTTTTGTGAATAACACAGGGTAGATATCATGTCTGGTTAGTCTGATCTAACACGAATGCTCCGGAATTATTGGTGGTCCGGTCAGATTGATGCTCATGGGTGGCCTCTCTTGCTTGGTCGTAGGTATGTCAACCTAAACGGGTGGGTGGTTTAGGCTTTCGGGATCTCCACGCTTTCAACATGGTTCTCGTTGGAAAACAGGTTGTTGATGCAGGGGGATCCGAGACAGATGATGCTGAGCTGTCAGATTGCACGTTGATGGCGCTGAGATACCATGAGTTGGCAGATCAGCGCAAAGGCGGGAATTGATTGTGACATGTTCCTTATTGGGGTCGTTTTGAGTATGTTTCAGTCTTTTGGCCATAACTTTGGCTACAGGTGTCAGAATCGCGCATAAGACCCCAATCCGGAAAGCTCTTTTCGACGCGCACGCTCTCCACATCGAGCTACGCTCCATGTGGCCTTTTTTTCAACCTCAAATTCTGCCGTTTTCCCCTCCGAATCACTAGATTTAGTTATTTTTTACTATTTATGGTAATATTTCGATTGTTAATTAGGAAGTCAATTTAAATCCGATTTAGACCGGATTTTTGGGAGATTGCTTATTTTATTTCGAATTTCAATTTAGAGTGATTTTCGGGATTTTGCTATTTTTGGCAAAATTCGAATAAATACGATTTTTGCTATTTTTGGCAAAATTCGAATAAAGACGATTTTTTTTGCTATAACAGTCCGGCTTGTGGACTGCTTTTGAGATAGTTATTGATTTTATAATATTTTATTAAACCCTAGAGACTTTTTTCTCTGGTTTTTGGGCGAATTTTCTCTTGTGAATCGTCTGTCGGAGCTAGCCTACAGGATAATCACTATTCTGTCTGGCATCAGTTGGTATCAGAGCTTCAACATCTTCTTGGGAAATTTCACCAGTTTCAATGGCTGGAGGTCGTGGTCGTCGTGAGCAGGTTCCGAATGAGGAAGCCCAACGCCGTGATCGCAGCGTTCAGGATGTGATGATTGCGGATTTGCAGAGGCAAGTCGCAGAATTAACCCAGCGCCTGGCG